GGGGGGGGGGGGAAAGGAAAGAAAAGAAGAGGAGGAGGTGGGGAGAAGTGGCGGATTTGCTGTCGGAGCGGACCTGCGGCGCTGCTCCCTGGAGGCGATGTGGGGAGTCCTCACCCGAGAGCCGCGGCAAGGAGAGGTGCCGTGCGCTGTCCGCGCCTTCGTCTGCGCAGCGGCGCACGGCGCCCCTCGGATTCCAGAAGGCAGTCATCTGAAAGTTTCCCAAACTGGGCAAAACGCATCTTAGACAGAGCCACTGCTTTCTTTGTGTGTGTGTTTTTCAAAGGGCAGATTCCCCTTCGGCTACTTGGTGACCGCCCTTCAGTCTGTGCAGAACCGTACCCGAGCACGACTGTCCCAGGCTCTTCGCACATCCCCCCTCCACACCCGGATTTAAACGTTCCCTTTGAGTTTGTCTAGATCCCATTTTTGTCTTCTGTTCCATATGGGCTATTATACCGCCCTCATCAACGTAGGGTAGAAGTGCCCTCCAATCACTGTTCATCAGGAAAATATACTTGTTTTCAATGTCCCATGTTTGTACGAGGCAACTGAGTTTGGGTCTAAGAGAGGCAAAGCCATATTCATGCAGAATAATTTTCCACAGGGATGTCTGATTGGGATGAAACAGCCAAGAAATAGTTCTGAAACTCGCATATGCTGCTGAGAGAGCTACTAATCAATGGACAATCTTGCATTTCTAACTTACTTTGCAAGATGTTTTTCTTTCCGAAGCTGAGGGAACAAACACACCCTCCAGGTTTATTTCAAACAAGAAGCGGGACCCAGTGTTGCCGCTTGCGGAGATAACTAAACTGCCCTGAAATGATCTCAAGATAGTGTCAGGAGGTAAAGATATGGTTGTAAACACGGGCACACAGCTAATTTACATATCCGACGTTTAAATAAACGGTGTGCTATGCAACTCTTCTGGGTGATCACTTCCACACCCAAGAAACTGGAAGTATACAGATATATGGGGGTGGTTATTTACATGGGTATATAGAAAATATTCTGTATACGTGTAACTACGAATACTTAGGCATTTAGGTATCAGAGTGGTAGCTGTAATTCTCTGTGTTACTTAAGCAAAGCAAAAAGCAGTTTGGAAGACTTCTGAGCCGGGCAGCTTCGGACAGCCTGGCACAAGTTTGGGGCAGACCGCCTGTAATAGCCAATTTCACTGAAATCCCCAGCTGCAGGGTCGTCCCTGCACCGCTCTCTG